TTTATAGGCGTGAGCTGGATTTTTTAGAATGAGAGAATTTTCAGGAGAGAGGAAATTAATGATAGATTTTGAAAGGCTGGTTTCGAGAGGATGGTGATGTTACCGTGCAATATTTGGTGATGATGTATATAGTTTTGTATTGTATATTGTATTCAGTGCTGGTCGCATAAAAATGTGTGTGACTAGTGAGGGTTTAACTTAAAAATATTTGGGTATCATCGTAAATCAATTTTAAGTAGGATGATTATTCAAAAATCGCTTTTAAAGTTCAATTTATACAGAAACCATGTTCAAAGGATGTTCTGATTGCAATTAACCACATTGATCGATTTTTCTGATGAAATTTTGACCAGCTCAAGTTACTCTTAAAAAAACACACACGTCAGTTACTTGACATGCCTTCTTAACCAAACTTAGTGATTGGCATGTGTATCTTTTTAAATGGTACTCGGGAATTTTAGTTAATATTTCATCAGAAAATAGACGGAGATGGTTAATTGCAAGCGAAATACCTTTTAAAGATGGTATCTATGGAATTTGCACATTTTTACGTGGTTTTCGTACAATCACCATATTTTAAAGATGATTTATATGGAGGAAAAAATTCCAACAAACTTTTTTATTTTAAATGCTATTAAACTAATATTCTGAGTTGTTTTCCGCATGCATTGTCATTTGAAGGCTAAGTATCATTAAAAAAACCCCACTATGTGATTATTATTAGATTATTTTTTGCTTTTTTATTGGAAACAAAAGTTTTAAGGCAAGCATCAACTGTAATGAGAGGGATGTTAGCTAGATCAAGATGGCCCTCGTACGTGGGACCCACACTTAAAGTTGTTTCCCCCCTATTTCTTTGGAATACTTTGTTTTGCTCTTTTTCTTAAGTACCAATGCAAAAGGATTTATTTTTCTCTTAAAACACTTTAAAACATTGGCTCTCTTGTTTCTTTTTCTTGATACGGTGCTCTATACTTATGGACAATGAAAATTTCATAATAAGTACCTAATCATTAATTTGTAATTTAAAGACGTACACACATAATCATATGTTTAGTTTACTAGTTTGATTAAGATTCTCAAAAGATGTAATATGCTAGGAAAATGATAGGTGAAAATCTCATATGGGGCCCGGTACACTGTAGCAAATGAGAGAGGGGGTGTAGTTGGAGTTGTGGTTAGGGGGTGTGCACCTAGTGCCGCTCAATATGCTAAGCTTGGTGGAGGGAAGATAGAGGGGTGTTATTAGGACAAGCGTCAAGCCAAAGAGAGCATAAACAAAACTTGGTAGACACAGCATAAAAAGTTGCTAAGTGCTAGTGGATTTATGACAAATGAGAAGAATACTTTATAAAATAGGGGCAGGTGGTGGTGTTGTTGTTAATTAATACTTTTGGGGTGTGTTTAGCAAAATTAGAAAATAATCTAAATTTGTTTTGAACCGGACCCCGCTTGGTCTAGGTTACGCTAAACTAGACTTTATTGAACTAATTCTAACGTGAACCCAATTTGGCTAATTTGTAGACTAGATTCTCTACGAAGTACTTACTCTAGTTATCTTGCGAAAGTGTGCATCCCGAAGAACTAGTTTTTTTTTTCCATCTTTACTCCGACATCTCCCTTTCTCAAGCTCCCTTGGCTCCAAGGAAATTGACTTCCCTTTGCCCTCTTGTGCTTTGGCATAGCATAGCTTCACGTATAATTATTTACTTTAGAGCCACATCGTCATCACAATGAGGGATACCCTTGAAAACATTCATTTTCTTATTAAGGGGCTCCTTGGTTGTTTTCCAAAAAAAAAAATCGGAAATGGAAAACTCACATTTCAACTCATTTCAAGATATTTCAAGACATTTCTCGCATTTTCTTTTTTTTTCGCACTGAAATCACCGTCACGTCACCGCCACGTCACATAAGAAACAAATCCAGCCGCAATAGTAACAGTGTTTTGATTTCCATTTCTTGTATTTGTTTGAACATAAAAAAAGAAAATGGAAACCAGCCGCAATAGTAACAGTGTTTTCAGCAATTAAATAATCTGTTTTATTCACAGTCACTGTTTCAACAGTGTTTTTAGTAATTAAAAATTCATTGAAGTGACATTTCCAAGTGTTTTCAGAGGTATTTGGTGCGAAAACATTTTTCTCAAAAATCTGACGTGTCATCCTACGTTGCACCCTCATTTCTTTAAATCACAAAACGAAACAAATATGTGATTTGAAAATCCGTTGAAACCAAAATCCTACGTGGCATGGGGGGTTTCTTGAAATCTAACATGGCGGGGGGTTCTTTTTTTTTAGCAAATAAACAGCCCCTTAATAATAACGTATTTGATCTAAATTGACAATCGTCAACCTAGACATGAGTACCAACATCCACAGAATGTTCGGTAGGTATTGTGTGCGCTAAAAGTTGATCTGGTAGAACCGGCCCATTACCGGCCATGTGTAAATGGGCCTACCCGTGGCCCACAAAGTTGGACGCCGAGCGCCGGTCAGCATCCGCGCACCATAAAGTCGTTGGTTTGACAAAAGATGTGGCTTTCTGCTTTCTAACTCCCTGGGCCCCGCACACTGGGCCCAGAGTAATGGGCTGGCAACCTAGTGGGGCCCACTATTTAGGAACATGAGGAAATATACACATCAGCTTTTGAAAGTGAAAACAAATCAGATGTGACCCTTATCACTTACTAATCACAGATATAAATATTCTGTATTAAGAAAAGCTAATGATTTATATCCGTCAAAGTATAATACAAATAGGGAACATTATTATAAAAAAAAAGCATAGGAAACAGATATGAAGGTACATTATAAGAGTGAGGACGATGTAAAAAAAAAATTGTTTAATAGAAAAAAATCAAATTAAAGTCCATCAATGGGCATGACATAATGTAAGATTAAGATTCCTGAATCACCAAAATTGGTCTCATATCCACTAACATCAAAATAATTTCTGTCGACGGCTAATCGAACAATGTCTACTCAATGGAACCCGTTGAGGATTGACGATCTCCTTGACGATCTCGGACCCTGCTGGGGATTGACGCTCTCCTATTCCGATCTCCGCACTCCGAAGATCAAACCCCAAGTTCACAGGATAGTAACAACTGCAAATAAGAAGAGCACGCAAGGGTTACGCCCTTCGGTTGGTTGACCTTACGCATAAAAAACAAGATTACGAGAGGAATCATTCATCTCTCTCAATCTCTTAACCTTACGCATAAAAAACAAGATTACGAGAGGAATCATTCATCTCTCTCAATCTCTTAACTTCACATACATACGTAACCACCGTCTCATAATCTATCCAAATCCCTGAAGGCTCTCTCTCTCTCTCTCTCTCTCTCTCTCTCTCTCTCTCTCTCATAAGAGAGACTTGTACGGTGCAATGACAAGAAACTACACAAAAAGTAAAGATTGTGATTGCATTTTTGGCCAAATCGCGTAAAGATGCGTGTTTTCACTATCTACATAAGGAAATATACACGCTGAAGTAATTAAACAAGATAAGGTCCCCAAAGAGTTCATCCCAATCAAAATATATGCAATGCTAAATCAAACATAAATCCACCCACTCACAAACTTTTTCTTTTTCTTTTTCTTTTTTTTTAATCAGAACTAATAATGCAAAAGTATCTCTAGAGACATATCCGGCTCCAAGAAAATACACTGGGCTCTTGGTAGAAAGTACCTATTTCAGATAATCGAATGAGTAACCAACTCCAGAACTCAGTGGATCGTTCTCTGCTGTTTTAAACCCCCAGCTGCTGCTTTCAATTTTTCCCATATATACAGCTTAACCTGTACACTGTCCTGAATCCTTCAAACCCTCAATCAACATGCAGAAGGACCTCCATGGGGTTGATTGCAGAGACCCCTTTGTAGTATCGTTGTTTCAAACTTACTACCCCTGTGGTTTGACTGTTGCAGATTTATTCCTCAGCTAAAAATTTTGACTCGTTTACCCTCAGATAGACTCACGAATTTCACACGGGAGCAGTATCTGCCAAATTTTATAACCCGGTAGGGGGGTTACCTGCAGCAATGAGACTACAGGGGTAGTAAGTTCAGGACAGCAATACTACAGGGGTCTATGTGCAATTAACCCGTTCTCATATCAACCAAGCCAAGACCTATAATCCTGTTACGGGATTGAGAATACCGAGCTCTAATACAACTATTGTTTCAGCCAGAAGATCGGTTAGGTTTGCCACGGGCAACGAGCGCGGGCTCGTTGCTCCCGCTTTTCGAGGCGGCAATTTCTTCCAGACGCTTCCATGTGTTTTCGCGTTTTGATTTGGCTTCCTTCTCTTTAGCTTCGTCTTCGTTGAATTTCTTCATGCACTCCTCGAAGAAAGTGGCGTCATAGTCGGAGAAAATCTTGCGGACATTTAGAGTGAGGCCCTGAACAGCTTGATTCCAATGACCCTTTATGTTTCTCTCTAATGCAGGGAATATAATTGGTAAAATCACCTTATGGTTTTGTTTGATTAGATTCTCAATGTGATCATTGTTCCATAAAAACAACGCTCTCTCTGCCACCTGCAAAATTGCAACAAATGTCTCTATGAATTAAGCTAGATATTTGCCAAAGCTCCCTAAAAGTTTTGGGATTGAGGCTTAGTTGTTTGTATTTTTGTTAGTGGTTTGTTACTAACATTATGTGATATGTTTTAAAAAAATGTCTTCACAAAAAAAAAAGTCAACAAGATTTGTTCAGGGTTCCACCGCCATTTTTTCATCCCATTTCTTATAGATCAGATGAGTTGTTGATTTTCTTCGAGTTACGAAAACCGTTACCAATTAAGTAGAGATTGCAAAGCTGTCAAGACATAAGCATTGCAGACACATCGTAGATACTATTAATGTAAATTGGGCATATTTGCAGGATGATTGGCCCGTTGAAATTTCAATTAGAAGGATTTTCCATTCAATTCCATTGACAAGCCATAGAACAATGAAGCCATTCTTTGCAAGTTTACGTATAACATTTAAAATCGGTTTTGAGTTTTCGTCCCTGTGCATCCAGTAGCCAAAAAAATGTAAGTAAGAGTAATGGTCTAAATGGAATACAAGCGAAATTACCGAGTATATATCCCTTAATCAATCAAAAGGCCATTTAGTGAGCTTTAACAGAAGAACTCAACAGTATTATAAACAGCGAATTATAGCCTAATCTAGCTGTACATTTGTTTTACCGACTACAATTTAGATGCCCACCTATTCCACATCCCTAATAAGGGGAAGACTCAATGTGATAGTGAAAGGGATGAATAAATGTGATTTATTAAAAGCTTTAAAGCATCATATTGTGAATGCTGTGGAGTGTGAAAAATAAATTATTGCAGACTTGAAATCGACCAACTTTTCGAACAAAGAACTAAGATAAAAACGTTCATCAACCAAGCAAACCATACGTAAGAAAGATTTCCATTGAACTGTTCAAATCATCCAGGAATATTACAACCAAACTACATTGTGGATTTCTCAACTTAAACGGGCAATCAGACAATTAAGGAAAGAGATACTCACACACAAGCATGCAAAAGATAGGGTGTGATGGAATAAAAGAAGCATGAACATAAATTAAAAATAGATAGTTCTTTCAATAGAGACATAAAGATTTACCTGAAAGTGGTGGCTGTTTAAGCAACGGGCAATTTGCCAGAAAAGATAGGGTGCGGTGAAATAAAAGAAGCATGAACGTAAATTAAATATAGATAGTTCTTTTAATAGAAACATAAAGATTTACCTGAAAGTGGGGACTATTTAAGCAACGGGCAATTTGCCGGAAAAGAGGAACCATACATCGCTGAAACTCAGCAGGCTGAGTTGCCTCCAAAACCTCCTCCAACTCTCCTAAGAACATCACTTCCTTTGAGCTATTTGTTATAGGCCAGTACTTCAGCAATCCCCTTATAACAGTATCTGCGAGCTTGCAGTCTTTCTCAACAAACTGAGAAATACAATATGATAACTGTTGATGGTACATGGGTATGCACTTAGGCTTGTGTAGTGGAATCAACGCTCTAACAAGGAACAGTTTATGCTCTTCCTTAAGTGGAAGAGCGAACCCATTAATAATACTTCCCAAAATCTCCAAAAGCTCGGCAATTCCATTGTGCTTTTCTGTCTCAAAAATGAACCGGTAGAAAATGTTATTGATGGATTTCCTGATGAACGGACGGTGCACCATAAACTTACCATATATGCGATGAAGTATCGTCTTTAAATACTCCCTCTCTCTAGGGTCTTCTGAGTCAAAGAGATCTAGCAACCGAATAATAAAGGAATGGTCTATATATCTCTTTGCCAACTTGGCATCGGTTTCTGGAGATGTAATAAATTTTAGAAAGAACTCGTAAACAATCTGCAAATGTGGCCATGAAGGATCCATTACGGGCTCATCCTCTTCGACATCAAAAGCTTCCAAAACTTTATTTTCACGAGGCGGAGAAATTAGGGTCCTAAATATGTTTATCGACACCATTTTGATGATTTCTTGCATCATATACTCAGAAAATTTCCCATTTGAGGTTGAAACATAATCAACAAGCTCTAGCAATGTCTGCCGTTTCACCTCCTTCTCTTTCAAGTGTTTACTTGGGTCTATGAAATCGAATACAACACAACACAAATTGAGTTTCTTGATAAACAAATTGGGCTTTTCAGAGCTCGGGACATCTCTAAAGCTTGGGAGGGTTTCATAAGGAGTTGCCGAGTTGCCATTTGTTTTCGAGCTTAATTGTGGATGGTTCTGTTTACCGTGATTATGTCCCTGAACGCTTGCTCTAGTGCTCAATAAATCTCCACCTCTTGAAAAGTTTGCTAGCGAGGAACCAGACCCACCGCCCGCATCCCGATGCTCCGATGATTTTGATGCCTTTTTGGGGAGCCGGCCTAATATTTGCTTGATCATACTCTCAAAAAATGCAATGAAAATGAGAGGAGATTTCAAACTTTACAGTCTAAAATTTGAGTCCAGTATACTTCAATTCAACCAGAGAGAGACCTTCAATATGATACAACTGCCTCAGCTCTTCCAACATTTCTCAAACTGGCAGATCTTTTGACAATTTCAAGATAATTTTATTGAAACTCCATCCAAAACTTAAAAGCTGCCTTTACCAGAATTAGAAATTCTAAGATCTGCATAACCATTGCACGTCAAAGATCATAGCAAAGGCTGAAACTTTCATCCCTTAAAAAGAAAATCTTCACTCCCATCCATAACAAACATGAACAAAGATCCCACCTTTTCCTCCAAAATGAAAAAACCCAGATGAAGAAATCCGATTCAAAACCTAAATCACACCCAAAATTCAATCTTTCTTCTACAATAATCCCAAATCGATCTGGTGTGATCTACAACAGAAGAGAGAGGAAAGCAAAAGCACCAAAGAAGAAGTCAAACACAAAGGGGTGATCAAGAATAAAACTTTACCCTTTTCTCAAATCAGATAAATTAGATAGAAATGGATAAGGAATGAGCTTACTTACTCGGATCCTTTGATCTCCTTCTTCAACCAAGATTCGATTTTGATGAAGGGAGATGAGAGAGAGAGAGAGAGAGGACTGGTTCCCTTGAGCAGTTGCTACAGAGAGAGCAACAAAAAGAAGGAAAAAAATAGAAAAAAAAAACAAAACAAAACAAAACAAAAGGACTTTATTACTGTTTTTTTTCCCTGCCACATTCACCTTTTTGGTAGCATCTTATGACTGAATCCTCTTTGTATGGATTTTCTTTACTCTTTTGATTCACAAAATTCTAGTGGATTTTATTTGCTCTTTCTATTTCCTTTTTGACAATCACATTTTGTGTTCTTTTTTGGGGTTTTTTTTGCCATATTAGCCCCACAAATCTTTCATATTTTGAATTAGTCCCTCACGTCGTCATATTTTATAATTAGTCCCTCAAATATTTTAAGTTTTTGAAATTAGTCCCTCCATTCAAATCTTTCATATTTTAAATTTAGTCCCTCAAATATTTTAAAGTTTTTGAAATTAAGTTTTAGACTTGCTAACCCTGGTTAGATTAGTGGTTAACCAGAGATGGTAATTACCAAATTACTCAACTCAACCAAATTAAACACCATAGTCCATCAAATTAGGTCCAAAATAAGTGAATTTAAGTCTAATGTTGTAAAATCTTTCCCCAACACAAACAGGTTCAAAATAAGTGGATTTAAGTCTAATGTTGCATTTTCCCCTCCATTTTTTTCTCTATAGATAAGTTCTTTAGGGTTTAGGTTGGAATGCAAAAGGGTATAATGCACCCAAAAAAATGTTAAAAAAGACAGAGTTTTTCTTAATTTCAACCAACCTCTAACTAGAGTTGTTAATTTCAAGTCACTTACAAAATTTATGGCAGTGATTTCAATATATGGATAAGGAAGGTATGGGGGAATAAAATTTAAAAAAAAAAACTTTCTTCTACTTAATTATTATTGATTATTCATCTTCTCATGAATATTATTACAACTTTCATTTAAAGTTGTTGATAGTTTAAATCACACATGTAAAAGAGAAGGTAATAGAGAATGGGTTGCTATGAGGGCCGCTCACTTTTCCGAATATTCGATTTGGAGTTGGGTTGTTCGTCCCTGCACGTGTAACAACTCGTAAGAGGACAATGACCGGTTCCCCCGTTATTTCTCCGACAATTAAGTCAGCTATGTGCTCGAATGGGAATATGAGAAGTGCAGCGAAATGGAGAAAAAATGCTGAAAATTTGCTTACCTTCGCATTGGGAATAGTTTTCTCTTTTTACAGCCATGTAGGAAGGGCATTTTAGTCTTTTTTCGGCAGAGTCTGAGCTGGCAGCTGAGTCAGCGTCGACTTTACAGGTGTCGATCGTGGATCGTCCATGGGATGAGCGCTGTCATTTCATCATTAATGAGATGGGATGAGCGGCGCGCGAAGCCGCCTGGTCCGATGTGTCATAAGTAGTATCGGGGATGGAGAAATGATGATGCCTGCCAAGCATTTAATGTGATGTCGACGTGTTGTCAGCAGGGTAGTCGAGGTTGAAGTCATCTTTTGCCTTGTAACGAGGAGTGTCGAGAAGTGACGTCTTTTGAGTCAACGAGGTGTCAAATAACTAATCGAGTGGACTCGCAGCGAGTCGTCTTCGACAAGAGGACCGATAAGCTTCGAGTCGACCTAAGGAGACGTCGACTAGGCGAGTCGGCTAAGTCGGGATCCTAGCAGTCCTGAGCGTCAATTCAATTGAATGGTGCATAACGGGGTGCATGCCCGTTGCTAGCAAAGGGTCACAATTTGACGACTGAAAACACCATAATGATAAGTTATTTGCTAGTTTTTCTATATGTACCTCTTACAGGATCTAAATCTCCCCCCTCCCTCATTTCGGTAGTTGTTAGCGGGAAGAAAAAAGAAAGATTCTTTATAAAGGAGAAAATTTCGAACGAACGTTTAAAATTTTGAGCATTACACTTTTAAACACATGTGTTAATTTTTAAAATTTATTACATTTTAAAATTAACTAAAATAAAAGTCACATTTAAATGCAAACCGCTTCTATTTTTAAGAATTAATATTAAATTTTATTTCTTTTCATTTTCATGGAATTTACCACGACCAACCAGATGATGGATTATCCATTGGATACCATCATCGATCTTGTTATTTAAGCTGTGATCTTTTTATAATTTGACTCCTGCCCAATACCCACACATGGTATTAAATCAAATGAAAAATGTTGAAATGGGATTTATTGATCCTCCTCAATTGAAATCCTTTGGATTTTTGTTTACCCGCTTGGCTAGGACGTGCATAGAATAATTACCGGGCTTTTTCTCTTGATTGTATTTAAGCTTTTAATTTAGCTATATACTTAATTGATTTTTTCATATATCTTTGTGAATTGGTTTAAGGCTTTCTAGTAAAATGATAATGCGAATGTGTGAGTTCTTTTTGTCATTAAAAAACAAATATCCCACCATCTTCATGCATAGCGTGTACCATTTTTCTATGTGAAAATTTTTACAGTTCACCCCCGGAAAAAAAAATCATGTTTTGAGACATAGTTTCAATCTCACTTCTAAACTGATCTTTTATTACGCTTGAAATTTTTTTTTATCCACACAAAATCAGCACGCTCAGCCCACGAACATCCTTAATCCTATCCACGAACATCCTCATCCTATTCCACGGGAGAGGATGAAGAGATTCCACTAAATCAATGAGACTACAAAGGGTTACAATCTCACAAAATCACTCACACAAACTCTAAACCAAATATCTCAACTTGTTCACAAGTTCTCCCTCTCAAAGTGCTCAGAATACTCGCAAATCTTTGTTAGAACTCTCATCTCATAACCCTAGAAACGAGTGTTTTAATATATATCAAAATATAAACCCGATGCGAACAGGAAACCAAATTCAGACCCAGCCAGACTAGCGGTCGACCGTGGCAGAAACTGAAAAACATTACAAGGTTTGGTCGATCGACTGCCGCGCCAATCGCGATCGACCGCGAAAAGTCCAAAGACTTTTCTAGCTTGCGTGCACGTTTGCGGTCGACCGCCGCGCCAATCGCGGTCAACCGCTGGAAGTCCAAACCTGTTTTCTGCTGTTTTTCTTGTAAGTTATTCATCTTTGTGAATTGGTTTAAGGCTTTCTAGTAAAATGATAATGCAAATGTGTGAGTTCTTTTGTCATTAAAAAACAAATATCCCACCATCTTCATGCATAGCGTGTACCATTTTTCTATGTGAAAATTTTTACAGTTCACCCCCGGAAAAAAAAATCATGTTTTGAGACATAGTTTCAATCTCACTTCTAAACTGACCTTTTATTACGCTAGAAATTTTTTTTTAACCACACAAAATCAGCACGCTCAGCCCACGAACTGCACTCTAAGATGTTATGTATTAAAGCCCAAGTAGACGCTCTCATCAACGTTAGACCCGCTCAAAACTGAGCCCACCAAAAATTTAACAAGTCCATAAACACTTTGTTTTGTGGTGAACGGTGAATGCACTTGAATCAAACTTGTTAAATACATTAATAAACCCATCCTTTCTCTTAATAAAAATAAAAATAATAACCATCATCGTCATGATTCAGGAGTAACTCTAAAATGTATAAAAGAATGTAATTCTAAAGAATTTACTGTCATGAATATAAGCAGCAATGTCATGAATATAAGCAGCAAGGTTAAGTTGTTTTCTATTATCAAGTACAAGTACTCCCGCGTACATACATTGTACGTGCATGACACAAAATATAGGATTAGTATTATGATCGCATTGTCGAAGAAAATACATAGATATAATTTTAAGTATACCTTCGTCCATTTTATTTTCTTTTAAGAGCATTTGTGTTGAATTTCCCCCCCAAGTGTTAGTGACATTTTCTTTTCATTTTGTCAAGTGTGAGGGTATTTTTTAATGTAAGAACATTGACATATAAAATTTTCAAATATAAAGGCGTTTTCGGAACTCTAAAAATGTGGATCATAATCACCAAAAGCATCTGAAATCAATATAAAGACATTTTCATTCTATGGTCAGTGATTTTTTTCCTTCCCCTCCTTGCTGCATTAGCATCTGAAATCAATAATCTAATTCTCATGGAAGATTTCAGAGAGCCATTATTGCTGCTTTTGCTTTGGTCAATACAAACAATTCTCCAGCAAACCTCAAGCATATGCAGTCAGTTACACAGTAATATATAAAAATATTCCTCTAGATTCCTGGCACAGGTAAGATAAATGATTATTATGGTACTAAGTTGGTTACATTATGACAGCTAAAACCTAGAAGGATATCTATGTAGGTCCCAACTTTATGCTAACACTAAGCAGTGGTTTTAGAGGAAGAAGCCATTTCTTGTAGGTCTGCCTCCATATGAGCTCTATTATTGTAGAATCTTGAAGCTTGTTCCTAACACATGCCACATAATTGCCATCACAAATCCCCTTCTTCAATTATAATTGTCTGTTAATGTTTAGGGAACGCAAATTTTTATCAGAAAATCTCGTATGCGAGCGGGGGATTTTGAACCATAGAGGATACATTTGATATCTCTAAGTAGTCTCCTATGTTTCTCATGTGAAGATGTCCTGATAAAATTTATACTCGTATACAGTCAAAGAAGATTATTATTATTAAACTCAAATCTTAGAAATATTATGTTCTCGCGATTTTTGTTCATTGTAACTCATTTAAACAACCGCACTTTTCATTGTCCTGTCTCTTTTTAGTATTACATGAGTATTGATGAACCAGGGATCAACATGTTTTAGTTACTTAGTATCAGGTAAGTTATTGAATTAATAAATGATTACAGGCTTTGCATTGGACCTACAATAAGCATTAAATATAGCTTCAAAAATATCTTTTGACATTGTTTGGATGTAAAAAAAAAAAAAACAGGTGTTAGAACCATGACAAAATCAAAATTTCAAAATCTGAAGCTTTTGAATTTTCCAATTTTTTTTCCTCGGAGTAAAAGTTGGATATAGGGAAATTCCGAGTGAGGATTTTGCTAATGTGACAGCAAAGTCGACTATTACTAACAAATTTTCCCTCAAAACAAACAAGAACTAACACGGGACCCACAAAAGGACCTAGTACAGAGTAAGAATGTCTTGATTAGGATGAGCTCAACCATGATAGCACTAAATTATGAAGTTAAGAATTGTAGTGTTACATTGAAGAGAGAACCTAGGGAAATGAAGCCTACCCAATGTTATGTTCATGCATTAGAGATGGATGCACTGAACCTCAAAGCATGGTGAAATAGATAAGAGGGCCACAAGGATACACGCACACATGGGTGTGCATATAATATTTGCTTCAGAATAAGATTTATTATTAGTAGTAGTATTATTATTATTATGGAAACTTCAAGATAAAATTACTACAGAGAAATAAGAAGGGTAGAAGTCAAATGGATGCAAGCCTATAATATAAGAAATCACGGTCCGTTACTTATGTTAAGATCCAAGAACAGCTGCATGCAGTTGTGTATCACAATCGAAATCAGTAAATTTTGTGTCCTGTTGTGTGGCAGTAGAGAGAATGTTTCCTGAATCCTAACCTTCCATTTTATATGGAGTAATGTATATTATGAGCATACGCCTAAAGAACTACACTGGTTATGTGATTTGTATAAAACAAAGATATACTTTCCTATCAAAACAGACTCAAGAAGAAATTTCCACTGCCATAGCAAATCAATATCATCAATATCAAGTCAAAATATTGATGGTTATATTCGAAACACAATTTTCAGGTAAAGGTTACACACTGAACAGTGTAACGTCTTCTGGCATGCAATTGATTCTAAACGTACTTTTGATTGATTGAGAGAGGCAAAGAAAACAAGAAAGAAAAAGAAGAAAGAAAAAAGAAAAAGAAAAAGGAAAAAATTTACAACAGAAATCTAACCCTTTATCCCGCGAAAAAGAACAAAGAAGTGAGTTATGGTTATTTCAAATTAAACCATGTAATCATGCATATATTGAATTTAAAATCAATATATGAGAAAATAAGTTATATAAATACTATGGTCAGCTGGTAGATGTCATTTGGATATCATGCACTAGCGGTGGATACTTTGAACCTGCAAATGTGGAGACGAATCAGAGGAGGACCACAAGCACATGGCTGCTCACATGAAGGGGGCTCTTAAAAACAAAGAACATCATTTTTAAAGAACATAATAGAGATAAGGGACCACCCTAATCAGCTCAACTCTCATCATGATTTCAGAGTTTTGGTACAATGGAAGGGATTTTATGATGGCATCGGATCAACCAAGATTAAAATTCTATATAAAAATAGCATTCCTTTCGGGTTATGAGAAGGAAGCTCCTTCTGCAGAAGCATGTTACGGTATAAAATTATAACTGTCAATCCTCAACAGGACTTTAGAGCTTCGGCGCGGTGGAAGAAAATTTAAGAGTGACCAAGAAGTAATTATTATTGGATGATGCCCCCAACTGCTTCGTGTCCTCTATAAAAGGAGCACAATGTGTGCTTGCCTCCCAAAAACAAGCTCATAACTAAATTTATCAGAGTGGAGATATGGTGTGCAAAACAGAGGAATGCAGGCTCAGAAAGCAGGAGTCGATGAGGAAGAAAGGGCAAGAGATGAAGGAGCCAAAGCAAGAAGTAATGAGGCTGCAGAATCCCTGCAAGTTTAAAAGAAGCTGCTTCGGCGATAAGGAGGATGCTGCTGCTGCCTCTACTATCCTCCTCTTAGCCTGTGTTGTCTGTACTCCCAATTATGCGTAGACAAAATTTTGATATTTCAAGTCTTACATATTCTTTTTGATATCTCTCAATCCTTTGAGAATCTGTTGATGCAAGTTCTTTATCTAATGCATACTGGCTTTATTGACAATTATGTTCAGATTTTCCACTAGGCCAATGAGTGCTAAGCCTGGTAATTTTCACTGATGAAAGAAAAAGAAATGTCATACGCAGGATTAGGATAGGTTTCGAGATGACGCTTGTGTTGTGATAAGAAGAAAGGCCAGAATGGGTTCTTTAGTTCCAACAATTAGGTAGAACTAAACAATTAGCTGTACTGTTAAAGTACAGAAAATTTTATCTAAGATTGCTCAAAATATGTATGAATTGTTTTTGTTACAGGAACAATTATTTTTGTCCCAGTTTCAAGACATGCATAATTATCAAGCTTAATAAGCCTAAAGTAGATTGCTGTCAAAACCTTCTAATTTTGGATTCCGCTATTATTTGGGTCTCTAATAGCACAAATTTTCTGAGAATAAAAGTCTCAAATTGATAATTAATGGAAGACTAATTCCTAGTGCCCTATTATTTTGACATCAGGGATATCCCAACAGTGAACCATCTTACATAACATCAAACATGCAGGTGTAGTAATTGTACCCATTGCACATAGCTCTAATATCCAGTAATGATCAGCAACAACATGAGGTCAATAAAGAATTAAGCCAGAATGTACCGATCAATGTACAATTTGAAGAAAGTAAACTTGCGTAAGATGCACCTAAGAGCATTCAAACTACTTTACTAAGCTTTAATATATAACACATGTTCACATTCAACAGTAGTTTATCTCTGGGAAACGTTATTTGAGGGAATTGTTCCGTTGATAAATGATAAAGATAGCAGTTCATTGTCAACAAAGATAACATTTACGTTTTTGACACAAATGTATTGCATCTTGATTTTAGAGATCGTAATAGCATAGTACCGTGTGCGCATGACAAATAGAAATAAATCTCTGATGGATCTTATACAATGAATGAGTGCATACAAACTGTACACACATAGTATACAACTTGTAGACTCACTAAAGCTGACTTGCAGTGAGGACAAATGGCTTAACAGGTTGAATTTTAAACGCAAGTTTTAAACTACAAGCATTGAGAAGCCAGTAGTTTTAAACTTACCTATTGACTTCTTCTAATTCAAATCTTTTTGTTTTCCAATCTCTTAAGTGCCCACCAACTTGTCACATAGATGTATACTTCTTCTAATTCAAATCTTTTTGTTTTCCAATCTCTTAAGTGCCCACCAACTTGTCACATAGATGTATCGTTACTTTTTCGAAGTATTTAAGGAGTTCCAATCTCTTAAGTGCCCACCAACTTGTCACATAGATGTATCGTTACTTTTTCGAAGTATTTAAGGAGTGACTATTCCTGTAATCTTAAGATTAAAAGGAAATTGTGTACCGTAGAAATAGATATATTTAACCTCAAAAAGAAGGAAAGTTCAAATAGCTATAATATTTTTGTTGCAAGAAGCATGTATACTAAAACCTCTAAAAATATAGGCTTGAAAGTTAATTAGTTCTTCCATTAAACTATGTGTATACACAAAAACTATACTTTGGTCTTGTCTAGGAACTTTCTGTGGAATTTCGGAAATATGTATAGAATGGTAATGGCATTGTAGGCACGCATAATTTTCAAATCTTGTTGCTTGCTGTTGAGACTGATTATTTTCGCAAAATATGTCACACTTCTAATAAACAAAACAAGACTCCAACAGTTCTTCGTTAGTTTCATATCTATGTGCATGTTTTGTGAACTTTGAAATTTTGAGAATTTTCAAGTGAAAAAAGAAGATACCCTGATATGTTGCAGTAATAAACTTTGGCTAATACATACCACGCACTTGCAATACTCTTGAAGTCATCTCTAATGAATTTTGTTCTTTGATTTGACGAAGTTACAAGCTAGAAAACTATATGCTCTACACAATGCAGTTTCAATTTCCATGTATTTCATATTGTTTGTATTCATATATAATTGGTGTTCATGTCTTTCCAAATGCTGTGCCATCATGGCAACAAATTCATGAGTTATATTTTGTGATTTTTCAGGCAAGCAACAGTCCCAAAAACTAATAAATAACTTGAAACGATTTTTACACCAAACACGCAAGGAATACATCAGGGCGTACAAATAAACAAAAATGCACCAAAAAGATAAGGTATATGTAAATTGGTACATAAATTATAACAAAGTCGAGGGTGCTGCAAGATAAAAATAAAATTTTATTCAATAAATGACATTCGGCAATCAGAACATAGCTTCGAACACAACTAAGCATGCTTAGTCAAACAAACCAACTTTCATGCCATCCAAACAATTCTGGAAACCAAAAGATAAGCACATGATCAACATTTGGGACCTGCAAAGAACTGGTTCACTGAAGGCATGATTTCAGGTTGTTTGTTGCGTACGAATTTCCTTACGCCATGCTCCTTGTATTTCTCCCCCTCTGCAAAATTATCAAGGATCCCTGCAGCTCTATTTTGCTTGGTAACCCTATAGTGAAAATTTACATTATAGTCCATTTCATCAATCAAATGTTATCAATTAATCAACCAACAACTCGTTACAAATAATATCCTTTTGCTCTATGCAAATTATGGATGCAAAAGGATATGGAAATTGGTGAACATGTGTGCATATACAATGGGTAGTATGTGCATAACTGCATATGAATATGGACATCTTATTTAATTTTTGCTAGGATGTGGATACGGATTAAAGTAAAAAAAAATGGAAAATATTTTGACCTGCATATGGATATCTAATTGTGTATATACATATATCCCATGGCTGTTTTCACATTACATAACTGTTGGATAAAGCAAGCAGAGGCCCGCTGGACAACACGTAAAGAGATAAGAGTATATCTCTTTTCCGCTGGACAAAGCAAAAAGCGTTGACACCACGTGAAGAGATGTGCTGGGAAACGCGTGAAGAGCATTGTTCTCGTGGGGGCCACCATGAAGCAAGCCACGAATGTTGGTGTGAAGAATTTTCACATGTGAATGTGTGGGGGCCACGAATGTTGGCAGGAGCTGATTGAAAACCCACGCGAACTGCAGCTATATATAGCAGCTTTTACCTAGGGTTTTGAGGAGAGCGAAGTGAGAGGAGCGGAGAAAGAAAAGGCGGCTGCGTGAAGTTCTGTGCAGAGGCATTGACTTGGACGGCGTGCAAAAGGTTGTTGTGGATTTTTCTTGGGCTTCGTGCAGAGTAGAAAAATCCTATTTGGCGGCTGTTCTTTTGTGAGAGATTAGAGAGTTTGTTTGAGGGTTTAGTTTGTGAGATTGTAAACCTATTGTATTCTCTCACTAATGGTAGATCCCCCTCCTCGCCCCGTGGACGTAGGCAGTTTGTCGAACCACGTAAAATTGGTTTGTTTGTGTTTGTGGTCATTGTAATAGTTTTTTAGGATCTCTCGACAAGTCAATCCTAGAACTGATGAGAGGAAGAGCCGATATCTCACTTTGTTGAGACATTCGCTTCAGATTCTTATTTCCTTGGTCAGACGAGAATTCTTATTCATCTTTCTCTCTTATTGTGCACCAGAAACTCTGTCAAAATTTTCGCTGCGCACAACAAGTGGTATCAGAGTCCAGATTCCAGATCTAGGGTTTGGTTTGAGGAGTGGATCAATTTGGAGGCTTGTCTAGGGTTTCGTTTGGTGATAAAGGTGGGATCTTTTGGTAAAGACTCTATCTTTTTAGTTTTGGATCTATTCTTCGTTCGTTGGTGCGTTGAGAAAGATGTCGGGGAAAGAAGGTGTTTCGGGTGTCGAGGGTGATGCTTCTGGCGCGAAGACCATTCAGAGTTTGAATATCCATTCTATGAAGATAGATGTGAAGAAGTTTAATGTCACAAACAATTTTGGATTATGGAGATGCGAGGTTTTGGATGCGCTGAACACACAGAATTTAGAGGATACCTTGGAGTTAGATGGCAAGCCAGATAACATTGAAGAGAATATTTAGAAGAAGATGAATCGAACGGCGTGTGGTGTGATTAGGTCTTGTTTGACTCAAGATCTAAAATATGATGTGATGAATGAGACTTCTACAAAGAAGATTTAGGAGATTCTCAAAAGCAAGTATCTGACAAAGAGTGTTGAGAACCGCTTGCATTTAAAGAGGAAACTTTATCGTTTTCAGTTGAAGAAGGGAACCTTAATTAGAGATCACATGAATATCTACACAAAGCTTCTTACGGATTTGACGAATGTGGATGTCATGATTAAAGATAAGGACAAAACATTGTTGTTATTGAGTTCCTTGCCCGACGAAGAATATGAGATATTTGTTCTTACCCTAATTAATGGGAAGACATCCCTTTCGTATAGTGAGATCACTGCTGCACTTGTGAATTATCAGCTTCGGAAGAAGGATAAGGAGACTTCGACTGAGTCGGTAGCAGAGACGTTGGCCGCAAGAGGGAAGGGTCCAAACCGAAAGAATTGAAAGTCACAGTATAGAGTAGGACATCCTACAATTAGAAAAGACCAGTGTGCTTGGTACAAGGAGACTAGTCATTGAAAGAAAGACTGTCCAAAGCTCGACGAATGGATGAAGAATAAACAGAAGAGAAAAGGGAAGCAACCATCATCAGAAGCAAACATCATATCGGATGGTAATATTTCTGACTCTTCTATTTATTCGCTTTCTATCAATCCTACATGGAGTTATTCGGAAGAATCCGAGTAGATGTTGGATAGTGGTGCGACCTATCATGTGTGCCCTAGAAGGGAATGATTCTCCAGTTTTGAGAAGCTGGATAGTGGTGTGATGTACATGGCTGATAACCGTGCATGCCAGATCCTTGGGATAGGAAGAATTCGCATCAAAATATTTAACGGGACTGTTAGGGAGTTAAATAATGTGAGATATGTTCCTTCTTTGATAAAGAACTTGATCTCAATTAGATCTTTGGTTGGAGAGGGTCTGAATGTTCGAATTGAGGACATGGTTCTTATGATTGTAGAAGACTCTCGGATTGTGATGAAGGGCGTCAGGAGGAATAACCTGTATTACTTGACTGGAGGTATAGTGGCAGGTAGAGAAGTGGCGACTTCTATTGATTCGACTAGACTGTAACATTTGGGGTTTGGCCATTCCAGTATTGATTCCTCGTATAGATTAAAAGAGGGTGTGAAGGCCTGCAGTTTGAAGTCCAGTGAACATGATGTGAGCAAGAAGATCGAGGTGAAGTTTGGCACCTCTATTCACCGTGCTAAGGGTCGTTCTGGAGAAGTTCACGTGGATGTTTGGGGGCTTTTCAAAGGGGCATCATTAGGAGGTAATAGAAGTTTGGTTTTCTTTGTTGGTGACTGTTCTAGGCGTGTTTGGGTTGCAACCAAATCCCCTTTGGAGAAAGTCCTAGTAGTATCCAACAGATTGAAGAAGTGTGTGATAGACAGAAAGATGAAGGTACTCCATTCTAGTTTTGGTAGGAGGTACAAGATAAATCTATTTTTGTATTGAAGCCGAGCTCACGACATTTCGAGACACTTCGTTGGAAAGAAAATCTTGGGGCAACTAGATAGGATGACAAATTTAGAGAACCGTGCCTTGCTGGAGGAGGATCGGTGTTTGTGGTCGAGCAATGGTTTGCAGAAGAGTTTCTGGACCGAGGCTTCGACATATTCGAGTCATCTTATTAAAGAGTTGTCAACTGCTGTGATTAGAGGTAAAACTTCATTGGAAGATAGGTCTAATAGTGTCACTTTGATTGAGGCTTCGATAAGAGAGCTAATTGATTCTCAACATGTGGAGAGTTTGGACAGACCTTAGATGTATCGCAGCGGGTGGAGATGGATGCTACTTCACATTGGGTGAAAATTATTCCAGATCATACTGTATTGTTTGGGATTCTAGCTAAGGTGACACAGCTTAGGGATCATTTGGATTTAGGTGCAGATGATGAGTTGAGTTTTGATTCGAGTGCAGCTGGCAGACATGGTTTGGATATGGTTGGTTTGGATATGGCCATTGGTTCGCTTCAGGTGGAGGTGTTTGAGACCATTGGATGTGCTATCAGCCGTAGAGTTGATGATATTGGAGAAGGGTTGCGAACTCTTCTTTTGGATTGAGGTCGTTCGCGGCCATTTGGGTGAACTACGTTAAGGCTTGATTTCTTGGGCAAGAGGATACGTAGACAATCTTTATGATGCAGCCGATTTGAGAGTTGACACTGATATTTGGAGAGTGTTCGTATTCTCATTTGGGTCTCGACTTGTTGTGGATTGAGTCTGTTGTTGTGGATCGCTTCACTTCATACTGGACGCAACACGTAAGACATTTGGTTTGGTTGGTGTCAGCTCAGTTTTGAAAAAACTTCGCTGAGGTGGAGAATTGTTGGATAAAGCAAGCAGAGGCCCGCCGGACAACACGTAAAGAGATAAGGGTATATCTCTTTTCCTCTGGACAAAGCAAAAAGCGTTGACACCACGTGAAGAGATGTGTTGGGAAACACGTGAAGAGCATTGTTCTCGTGAGGGCCACCATGAAGCAAGCCACGAATGTTGGTGTGAAGAATTTTTGCATGTGAACATGTGGGGGCCACGAATGTTGGCAGGAGCTGATTGAAAACCCACTCGAACTGTAGCTATATATAGTAGCTTTTACCTAGGGTTTTGAGGAGAGCGAAGTGAGAGGAGTGGAGAAAGAAAAGGTGGCTGCGTGAAGTTCTGTGCAGAGGCATTGACTTGGATGGCGTGCAAAAGGCTGTTGTGGATTTTTCTTGGGCTTCGTGCAGAGTAGAAAAATCCTATTTGGCGGCTGCCCTTTTGTGAGAGATTAGAGAGTTTGTTTGAGGGTTTAGTTTGTGAGATTGTAAACCTATTGTATTCTCTCTCTAATAGTAGATCTCCCCCTCCTTGCCCCGTGGACGTAGGCAGTTTGCCGAACCACGTAAAATTGGTTTGTTTGTGTTTGTGGCCATGATAATAGTTTTTTAGGATCCCTCGACAAGTCAGTCACAGAACTGATGAGAGGAAAAACCGATATCTCACTTTATTGAGATATTCGCTTCAGATTCTTATTTCCTTGGTAAGACGGGAATTCTTATTGATTTTTCTCTCTTATTGTGCACCAGAAACTCTGCCGAAATTTCTACTGCGCACAACAATAACTTCATCTTAGATCAATTTCCTTGATCCAAATATCTTATCCTTTTGGATATGTTGGACACATTAATGAACTCCAATTTGAGAAATTGTATTTTATTTAAACACCTCTCATATTACATTCTCTAAATACTTTTTAGTCTTTTCTGTTTTCTTGATATCTGTTCTGTGTCCATACATGTTTTCCTCTCTTCCTACCTCTATTTTTATTCGAGTATGATGGCTATGTAATATGGATTTTCTTATTGAACCGTGTTTGTACTCTTATTCATAGTCATGACTACCGAGAGATATACAGATGTGGTAAGTATCATAATCATGTCTTATCTGCTTGCACCACTAAATGCAAGGCACAAATGTTGACTAATCTGCATATAGTTGAACTTGGTAAATCGAAATGATCGAAGATTTTTTTTCCCCTCACCTCACTTCAGGGTTGCCGGTAATGTTCCGCACCAATTGCATGCCACAAATACCAACAACAGAGCCCACCACAGCAAAGATTGGGTACACCTGCAATGCACATAAAAGTGAAATAAAATAGCAGAAGTTTTTGGTTGAGGCAAAATAACAAACAAGTTGTGGGCATGTTTTATTACCTCAGGCCTCAACCACCTTTTCATTGCAGGAGAAGCCATTGGAGCTGCAGGAAGGTTTCAGAGAAAGAGAGAGGATGAGAGAGAAAGGAAACCCAATTGAAGAAATTTACAGTAAATGGGTTTCCTTTCTCTGCTTGATTTTCTCTTTGGGGGGTAATGGGTGTTTTCGTTGCGAGAGGTTGGAGCAAATTTGGAATTTGAAAAGGTCAAAGTTTTTAACTGCCGTCAACATTTTTTTTTGACCCCTCTCGCAACTGTTTTGAATTTTTGTTGTTTTTATTGTTTTAATTATTTTTTTTATTTCTTCTTTTCCTTTTACAAAAGATTTTAGAGGCTGTAAATGAACCGGAGTTTGAAATTCTAAACCCGAGGAAAAAATAGTGCACCATAACACGATACAAATAACTCTAACCAGATTCACTTTTGTTTTCTGTATTTCAACAACAACAATGCTTGTATGGAACCCTTGATCATCTTCTCAAAACATTAAAAAAATACATGGTTCTTCGAAAATTATGACTTATTTGTCAATTATTGCTTTCACCTTGTTTGATCGAGGTAGATCGAGGTATCTCAGTGTTATGAATTGAGCTGATGACTAATTAATCTATGACGGATGAGGAGATCTAATTTTGGGGATTTCAGCAATATTTCTGAGGTGACACCAATATATGGTTGTTGTTTTCCTTGTTGCACAATGCCAAAAAAGAGCTAATTTTAAGATGTATTAAGAAGAGTTAATTTAAGATGCATTCCAAAACTAAAGTAAGATGGTTTTTTCTGATATTATTTTGAAATTAGTCCTGCAAATCATAGAAATTGCAATTAGGTCCTCTAAATATTAGGTTATTTTGAGATTAGTTCCTCAGATCATTGAAAATGATATTACTTTTTTTAACCTCTCAAATGCACCTCAAATTCTCTTAAATTTCTTTCTTTATCCCTAATGTTCTCATTCTCATGTAATTTTTGTTCACTATAGTACAGCTGTCTCTAAAGTTGAGATTGCCTTACAATAGCAAACCCTAGTCTCCATCTATTTACCAATACCATAAGGGGTTGTTTGTTTGCCTAAAAAAAGTGGGAAATCAAAGAATAGGAAATCAAAGAATATGAAATCTTGTATTATGGTTGTTTAGTTGGCTAAAAGAAGAAGGAAATCAAAGAATAGGAGATGAGATGAGATGAGTTGTCACCATATTATTGGATGATGTGAGTGGTTTTTTAAGAAAACTTGTTTTAAGATTGTTTGGTTAGTTAAAAAAATAAGCCAATGTATTATAAGAAACATATTTCCTATAATAGTTTCTTTTTTTTGTGTTTGGTTCATTCTTAAAAATAAGAAAATAGATGAGATGAGTTGTTTGTATATTATTGGATGATGTGACCCACACTTAAGAAAATCAATTTTCTTGTTTTTTTTTTGAATAAATGGGTGGAAATAAAATGTTAATGAGATGAGATGAGTTATCACCATTTTAATTGATGATGTGGGTGATTTTTAAATATGAGATGAGATGAGTTGGATGATGTGACTCATTTCTTGTGTTTGGTGATTTTTAAATATGAGATGAGATGAGTTGGATGATGTGACTCATTTCTTGTGTTTGGTTTATTTTTAGGAGATGAGATGAGTTGGATGATGTGACTCATTTCTTGTGTTTGGTTTATTTTTAGGAGATGATATGAGATGAGTTGTTGGATAAAATAATATTTTATTGGATAAAGTGGATGAGTTGTTAGATAAAAATAATATTTTATTAGATGTTGTGGTGAGTTTTGGGGATAGAAATGGAGTAAATTGATGTTTTTAAGATTTCCATGACCCAATTTCCTATTCTTGGTTTTTAGGAAACCAACCAAATAGCCCCTAACTTGAAGAAGCAGATGAAGCCCTAGAGTTCAATTTTTATAATAGCAAACCAGTATCCCTCTTGTTAGAAATACCATAACTTGAAGAAGTAGATGAAGCCCTAGAGTTCAATTTCAAAATTGACTACAAAAAAATTAGGAGAAAGGGGGAGTGAATTTGGAAATAGGTTTCAAATTGAATGATTGAATTTTTAAATTAATTCGGGATTGAATGATTGAATTTTTAAATTAATTGGGGTGGTAGAAATGATAATTATAGCCGTAGTGGATTTTAGTTGCCATGTGATTATCACATGAGGACTTAAATTTGTTATGAAACTTAAGATATTTAATTGCCAAAAAAAAAAAAAACAGTTCATGATATGTAATTAAGTGCTAAAATGAAAAAATTTTATGGTTGCCGTAAAGCGAGCAATAATTGTGGATATTATTACATTTTAGGAATTTTAAAGATTACTCCCTTAAATCTTTCTTTTTTTTAAAACTTAACCCTTCCAGCCTTTGAAATAGCTATTAGTTCTCAAAATTTTATAAGTCACGTTGATTTTAGATTTTAGTTCATTCTATTAACCTTACTTTGGTTAGTCGATAATGGAACGTAGAACATTACTTTTAGATCCTATCTCTCATTTATATTTTTCCCTCCAACACACAACAATTGCTATTTTTGATGGTGGTTAAAAAGAAATTAGAATGCACATTTTCATGGAAAAGTGGTTTCTTTTAATTTTTACTTTTGGTTGAGCTGTTGAGGGGTGAAGATGAACCATATAGGGGGTGTTTGTTTACATGTAAATGAAATGTGAATGTGAGAAAGTGAGTTGTTTTTAAAGGATGGTTGTTTGCATGTAAGTGGTCAGTACAAAAAAGTTGTCAAAAAGGTTTAGTACAATTTTAAATTTTTCCTAAAAAATAGCAAAGTCACATGAAAGTGACAATAGATAAACCAATTTTAACTAAGGGGTGTGAGAATTCGAAAGTGAATCGAAAATGTGCAAGTTAAAAATTTTTTTTTGGCGCAAATGACTTTTACATCCACATTAGCATGCAAAGTGAAATATAATGTTTGTTTGAAAATTAAAAATATTGTTGAAAGTGCAACATGAAGATGATGCAACAAAATAAGATTAATTAGTAAATATAGCTAAAATCATTTAATTAAAATTGGTTATCATTTTTATTACTTTCACATGACTTCACCACTTTTTTTAAGGAAAAGTTAAAATTACATTAAATTCTAAATGACAACTTTATTGTATTTCACTTTCGCAACCACTTGCATATGAACAAACACCTAAAATGTTAAAAGCAAACCACTTTCTCACTTTTATCTTTACACACAAACAAACACAACCTGAATGAATTTAATTACATTTATTAATTAATCGTATTTTACCATATCATCTTCATATTACAATTTTAATATAATATTGTTTTTCAAATAAACACTATATTTTACCTGCATACTGGCATGAATGTGAAAGTCATTTGTAAAAAAAAAAGAAGATAACTTACACATTTTCAATTCACTTTCAAATTGCCAAACACCCCTAAACTGAAGATTGTGTCAAAATGTTAACACTAATGATATATTCTTCATAATAGAAACTACAAATTGCAAGGACTAATTTCAAGTAACATTTAAGATTAGAGGGAAAAAATAACAATTTCAAATATTTTAAAGAACAATTTTAAAATATGAAGGATTTAGGATGCCAATATCTGAAAGTGGTTTTTCGATATTAGTTCCCCATCATAATTAGAAATTAGTCCCTAAAATAATCATATCATTTCTTTACTTAATCCCTTAAATTATTAAGTATTTTGAATTAGTCCTTCAAAAATTCCTAGTTTAAAATTAGTTTCCCAAATAATTTTATGTGTTATGAAATTAGTCCGTCTAGTTAGTAATATGTTGAAAGCTTTAGGGGACCAGTTTCAAAATATTTAATAGATTTGGGGGCCTAATTCAAAATATAAAGACTTGAGTGACCAATTTTAAAATACTTAAACATTCTAGAGACTAGTTTCAAAATATTAAGGTTTTGGGGACTAATTCAAGAGTTAAGCTAAATAAATTTAAGCTGATTGAGGACTCAATCAAGATACATATCAAAGATAATATGTGTATTATATGCAGCAAATCTAATGAATAAAAATTTTGGAATATAAAAGATATGGAGGACTAATATCAAAGAAACCCTATCTAGAAAGCCCTAGACTTCAATTAGTTAAAAGAAAAGGGTGTTAATGAATAATTGAATGCTATATGTCGTCACGGATCTCTCGCTTATATACTAGAGAACCTCTAAACCCTTCACTTTTCTAGCTTGTTCTCAGTCTCTCTCGATCAACTTTCTTCACTTCTCTCCTCTAATCGTTATATCTCCATGGGTTAGATCGTCGCTCTCAAATCAATCTCCCCTTTTTCGTCGTCTTTTAGCGAATTTTTTCTCATTTTTTACGATTTTTTTTATGGTTTCAGCTTCTTCTGGCAAGAAGATCAAGATCGGAATCAACGGTTAGTTCTAGATCTACGATTTTCTCTAGGTTTTGATCTATTTCGTTCGATTTTTTCTTGTTTTTATGTGATTTGCTTTGATCTGCTAGGGTTTGGAAGGATCGGGCGTTTGGTTGCGAGAGTCGCTCTCCAGCGAAACGATGTGGAGCTGGTTGCTGTGAACGATCCGTTCATTTCTATTGATTACATGGTGAGATTCTCTTAAGATTTTTAGATCTGATGTTTTTTTTATCTAATCTTTGAAGAAATATTGTAATAGATGAAAGATTTTTTTGTTTGTGTAGATTGGATCTTGTGGTTCGTTAATTTTTGAAGCTTTATAGCTTGAGATTTAGGGTTTTGTAAGGGGATAAGTGTTTTAGAGTATTTGATCTCCTTTTTGCAACGAATTTAATATTCTATTGAATTTAATATGCTGGTTACAAATATTGAGTTTAAATTTTGATGAGATGCTCTGTTATCAATAGATATAGCTTCAAATAGGTGTAATCTAATGACAGGTTATTTTCATCCATTTGGTTAGATGAGATAAATTTTGCTATGAAACGGTGGAGAATTTAGCTTACTATTTATGCTTATTGAGTTTACTGTAATTTTCTGCAGACCTACATGTTTAAGTATGATAGTGTCCATGGTGCGTGGAAGCATCACGAACTGAAGGTGAAGGATTCTAAGACCCTTCTCTTTGGTGAGAAAGAGGTATCTGTTTTTGGCTGCAGGTATAACCATGTGAATCTTAGCTTATGATTGTGTTTTTTTTTAAGTTGGAATGCTTGTACTTGATTGCTTCTGTGTTTGTGTTTGTTAAGGAACCCTGAGGAGATCCCTTGGGCTGAGACTGGAGCCGAGTACATTGTCGAGTCCACTGGTGTCTTTACCGACAAGGATAAGGCTGCAGCTCACCTTAAGGTTAACTTTTTAACTAAGTACTTAACGTGCTCTAGTGTTGCAGTTTTCTTTCAGAGCTTTCCTCATTTTAGCATGGATGCAAAGTTATTTAGAGATGAATTAAGCTAACTGTTGCCTTTAAACTCCGTTCTAAACCAGAGAACACATGAACATTTCATGTAATGTATTACATGTTAGTGAAGAGGTTTTACTTGTGCCTACAATTTAGTGTTCTTTGGGTATGAATTGTCTCAACTCTCTTATGTTTTATGTACCAAGATCTGGTTGGTGACTGAATATTGTTTGCTGTTTGATTGTTTAACCAAGAGTTTGTACTTTGGGCTGACATTTAGCTGTTTTATTTGCTTTTAGTACTAGCATTATTCATTCTTTCATGAAATTGTTAGTCAATATTTGTAGTATCATTACTAGCTTTCATGCACCTTGTCCTTCTTTGCATGTTTTCTCTGAAATGTAAGAGCCTTAAATATGTAGCTTATCATCCTTCTGGAGTTGGTTTCTAACTGTCTATAAACTAATACTTTTTGGCAATCGACAATTGGAAGTTTATGTCTATACATATCCTTGCTTAGACTTGGTTTTAATACTTTGCGTCCTTTATTTCTGGTCCTCAATCATTCGGCTTCTGTAACTGGACCACTGCATAAGTGCTCAACAGAAAATATCATGCTTTCATTTTCTTGCTTAACATTATTCATTTTGTTCCTCCCTGCCAGATCTTATTAGCAGTAACTTCAACTCGGTTTTCCATGTTAAATGCCGTACTGGTAGCTGGCAGATGCACCTTTTTTGAGTTTTTTAATCTTAAATCCTGCCTTATACTTTTTAGTTATTTCTTATAATTATATAACTTGTTAGGCTAGCTTAAATTGGCAACCTAGAAAAGAGAATTTTCATATGCACATATGTTTGTAGAATTTTTCATATCTGTGAAAAAATTTGGAAGTAGTCTAACCAGTTGGCATTTTGCAGATTTTCTTTCGACATATTTCTTTTGATAATTTTTTTGATTTTACTATATAATGAGTGGTAGTATGATATGACAGGAAATTATTCATGTTCATCTTTTTCTTTAGTTTAGTGTACAAAAGGAAGAAGACTGTTCATGTTCCTTTTTTTTAATTTAGAGAAATAAGCAAAATTTCTGATTAAATTTGATGACAATAGGGTGGTGCCAAGAAAGTTATCATCTCTGCACCAAGCAAGGATGCCCCAATGTTCGTTGTTGGTGTAAATGAGAAGTCATACAAGCCTGACATTGATATTGTTTCTAATGCTAGCTGCACCACGAACTGCTTGGCTCCCCTTGCTAAGGTGATGTCTTCCTTCATGAATAGAATTTTTAATTTGGTAATTGCAGGGAAAATTGAACATACTGTTATTTTGCATGTTTTTACAGGTTATCAATGACAGATTTGGCATCCTTGAGGGACTGATGACCACTGTTCATTCAATCACTGGTATTCATCATGGAATATTTATGAATATGATCTTCTCCTTTTGCTATGCAGATGCCGATATCAGGTCCTGTTATTGAACCTTATCCTTTGTATTGATTTCAGCCACTCAGAAAACTGTTGATGGTCCCTCTGCCAAGGACTGGAGGGGTGGAAGAGCTGCCAGCTTCAACATCATTCCTAGCAGCACTGGAGCTGCTAAGGTAATATATTATACTTTACTGTCTTTATGAAGAGTGATTTAATGGTTCATTTTCCGCATATAAGTAGTTTGGTCTAAGTGCATGTGCTGGTACCAGGTATACTGTCTAGTTATAGCTTCTAGGTAGTCCAAAACGTGTTTGAGGTTGGTTATATAAATTCAAATCATTTCGGGTGTGGGTACCAGTGGAGCACACCTTAAGAATTTACCTATGCGAGGTGAATTTTTTGACTGGCTTCTATTGGATATATATTGGGCACATCTTTGGGTGTGTTTGGTTAGGAGTTGGAGCAACAAATATTAATGGTGTTCGAACTCATGGTGTTGCAACACTTAAATTTGAGTGTTGTTTGCACACCTCTATTTTTGTTGTTGCAATAACCTTTTCGTGTTGCAACAACATCCAACCAAACAACACTTTTGAAATTTAGATGTAGTTGGTAGAACGTGGGGTACTAACTACATCTAACTAAACGCACAAGCCTTGTGAAAATCGTGATAAAGCACATGGACATTAATATGCTACACAATAGCAAAGAATGTGTATCATAGTTCAAATCTTGGCTACTATTTCTGTCGGTATAAATTTTATGCTTGATTATTGAACGATATGCAAAGTACTGTTGTATTTAGTAGAAAATGGACAATTGAGACAAAGGATTTTATACTTCCCTGACTGTTGTTCTGGTAGGGCTGATGTTGTCTTTGAACGTCAATGTTCAACAAGCCCAAGTTGAACCACCTTCAAGAAGAACAAACTGAGTTGTTTGTTGTGCACCTACCAGCTTAAATGTGGACGGGGCTATCAAGCCCTCAAAACTCCGATTTCAAACCTACTGAATTGTTAATGAGTGAACAAATGCTTTATTTAAAAACATGCAAGCTAGGAATTGTGAATGACCATTCTCTTATTAGAGGCTATGCATCTCAATTTACATTCTTCAAACTTTGTGGCTAAGTTAACTTTTCTTGCTTGACAAGTAAGGCCAAGTTATAACGGATATATTGGAAACTTCATCCATATTGTGAAACTTTTTCTAACAATCCCCCACAAGTTTCAACCTTGCCTTAGGTTTGTTTTAATCACATGTGCATAGTGAAGATGTCGCTGGTACTTGAATCACAAGTTTCAAACTTGCATTTGGTTGTCTTTGATTTCGTATGCATAGTGAATATGTTGCTAGGATTTAGATACCAATCAGAGCAATTGGAAAATAGTTATGCACATATCAAACAGACTTGAGTCTTGAACAAAGTTTCATAATATGGAAAAAGTTTCAAACTTATTATAATAACTTGTTTGTCAAGCCAACTAAGTGAACTTGGATAACAAGCTTGGAGAGCCTATTAATTGAGGTGCATGACCTCTGAGAAAGAGTTTGACAATAAACAAGCCCGAACAAATCTCTAGGGCTTGATAGCTCATCCACATTTAGAGTTGTTGGTAGGTGCAGACCAGTCAACACAACTTACTGTTCCTTAAGGCATTTTGGACTTGGAATTCTTGCGTGGAAGTAGGAAGCATACTCTTAAGACTGTTAACTAGTATTTGGTAGACATGGACGGTTCAATCAAAGAATTAATGAGTGTTGGTCAAAATTGGCTGCCATCAAAAGCCAAAATCACCATCACCTCTCAATCCCATCACCGAATTCGATGCCAAGTTTTTTGACAAAGGAAAAGGTGGGCGGGCCCCACCACAGGAAATAATATTTTTTATTGATACATAGTATTCTCCTAAACACTATAAATAGGCCCACAATTCTTCAAGAAAAAATCATCGCAGAAACAACTCCTCTTATAGAAGAATAAGTGAGAAAAAAAAGGCTTAGAGAAAAGGCTTTGTGAGAGAAAATTATGAGTAATTTTCAGAGTTGGGATTTGGTTGTGAGTATTTGTGAGAGTGGTTTGTAAATTTTCTCTCAATAGTGAAAGATCTGCAGCAGTCCGTGGACGTAGGCAAGTTTGTGCCGAACCACGTAAATCTTGTGTGTCCCCTATTTTACGCATTTATTTCGCTCTCTTAAATTTGGCAATAGGGGAATCTGAGTAATTTCCCTAACAACTGGTATCAGAGCTCTGGTTGTGGCTTCTGTTAATTTTTCTGCAAGATTACTATTCACGTGAGATGTTGAATAGTAATCTTAAATTTGGCAATATGTGAAAATTGAAAACAGATTGAAATCAGTTTTCAAGTGGGAGATTGTTGGTCAAAATTGGCTGCCACCAAAAGCCAAAACCACCATCACCTCTCAATCTTATCATCGAATTCGGTGTTTTCTTTGTGGAATGAAAAAGGTGGTGGGTCCCACATGGTCCCACAAATATTTTATTATTAGTGGCTGGTCCCACTGATAATATTATATTTGTGCATAGTATTTTCTCAAACACTATAAATAGGATCCTAAACTCTTAAGGAAATCTCATCCCAGAAATAACTTCTCTCATAGAAGAGTAAGAGAGAAAACACAGAGAGATTGTGAGAGTTCTTGGAATGTATCTGATTAAGAGAGGATGTTCTCTTTGATCTATTCTTTTGGGATATAAAAGAATTTGGCGTCGTCGTTGTTCCGTGGAGTAGCTCCGAATGAGTGAACTACGTATATCTGTGAGTACTCTGATTGATTTTTGTGTCTTTATTTTGTGTATTACGTCTCCGTTCGAGACGTTATTGTTAGTGTGTACCCTAACAACTGGTATCAGAATTGGGGGAGACAAGTTGAAGTTTGAGCGTTGATCCTTTTGTCTTTCCTATCAGAAAGCTGGAACGCTACAGTCATGGCTGTAAGTAGCTCATCGGGAAGCAACAAGTTAAAGTTCGATGACGTTCGTGATCTGGTTCTCAATGAAGAGATCCGACGGAGAGAATCGGGTGAAGCTTCAACCTCCTCAGCTTTACACGAAGTCTAAGGGAAGAACTTCAGAAAGAAGTTCAAATCACGGCAGATCAAAATCTAGAACAAGCAAATCTAGATCGGGAAAAAAAGATTTTAAGTGCTACAATTGGGGTAAGAAGGGTCATTTCAAGAGGGAGTGTCGGGCATCGAAGAAAAATACCGCTGCATATGAGTCTGCCAACGTGACCGAGGAAGGAGGTAATGCTATGATTCTAAGCGTCAACAGTCCGATTGAATCATGGATTCTTGATTCAGGAGCATCCTACCATGCCACCCTTTGTTGAGAAATCATGAAGAACTACGTTAGCGGTGATTTCGGAAAGGTACATCTAGCAGATGATGAAGCCTCAAAGATCGTTAGAAAGGGAGACATCCGATTAAAATTGTCAAATCAGACCACACGGAAGCTACAAGGAGTGAGACATATTCCTGACCTTAAAAAAATTTTATCTCTATGGGACAGCTTGATGGAGAGGGTTACTATACAACATTCTCAGGTCATGAATGAAAGATTACCAAAGGAGCACTCGTCATTGTTCGAGGTAAGAAAATTGATACTCTCTATGTAACCTCCAACTTAGAGAATATCATTACAGTAACAGATGTAGATGAAAAATCAAACATATGGCACCAAAGGCTTGGTCATATGAGCGAGAAAGGGATGAAGACACTTCTATCAAAAGTGAAGCTGTCAGATCTGAAAAATGTAGATGTCGACCTATGCGAGGATTGCATCTTTAGCAAACAGAAAAAATCAGTTTTGTAAAGATTGGCAAGACACCCAAGACAGGAAGTTAGAATTGGTTCATACCGACGTATGGGGGCCATCTTCGGTTTCATCTCTTGCAGGCTCACTGTAGTCACCTTCATTGATGATTCTACAAGTATGGGTCTATTTTCTGAAGAAGAAATCAGAAGTCTTTGATACCTTCAGAAAATGGAAGGCCATGGTGGAAAATAAAATTGGTTTGAAGATAAAATGGTTGGGGTCAGATAGCGGAGGAGAGTACAAAGATAGTAGATTCAAAGAATTTTGTGCAAACAACGTGATCAAGATGGAGAAAATTGTTCCCATGACACCGTAGCAAAATGGTGTAGCGGAGCGCATGAATAGAATTTTGAATGAACGTGCCAGAGGCATGAGGATACATGCCGGATTGCCCAAGTTTCTATGGGCTGAAGCTATCAATACCGTAGCCTACCTAATCAATCGCGGGCCCTCACCTTCTTTGGATGGTGGAATACCGGAAGAAGCTTAGAGCAGAAAAGAGGTAAACCTTTCGTATTTAAGAATTTTTGGTTGCATCTCTTATGTACACATATTCTGCTGAAAGAAGTAAACTTGATGTCAAATCTAACAAATGTGTTTTAATTGGTTATGGTGGTGATGAGTTCGGTTACCGGTTTTAGGATTATGAAAATCGGAAGATCATCAGAAGCAGAGATGTCATATTCAATGAGAATGTGATGTATAAAGACAGATCAGCTGCAGAATCAAGTAGCTCCAGTACAAAAGCTGAAATAAAGGAATTTGCTGAATTAGAGGGGATTTCTGAAAATGATGTTCAGAACAATCTTGAAGAAGTTCAAGAAGAACCAAGCACGCTAGAAGTGAGACGCTCCTCCAGAATTCCTAAGCCAACCCAACGTTATTCGCCTTCTTTGCACTACTTGTTGCTGACTGACAGTGGTGAACCGAAGTGTTATGATGAAGCAATGCACGTGGAGGATTCAGTCAAGTGGGAGTCTGCTATGCAAGATGAGATGGACTCGCTCATGTCAAATCAGACGTGGGACTTAGCTGAATTATCCACAAGTAAGAAAGCTCTTCATAACAAGTGGATTTACAGGATCAAAGAAGAGCATGATGGGAACAAGCGCTACAAGGCAAGATTGGTTGTAAAAGGCTTTCAGCAAAAAGAAGGTATTGACTACAATGAAAATTTCTCTCCGGTCGTGAAACAGACTACCATCAAACTGGTGTTGAAAATTGTAGTTGCTGAGAATTTACATCTTGAGCAGTTAGATGTAAAAACAGTTTTCTTTCATGGTGATTTAGAGGAGGATATCTATATGAAGCAACCAGAAGGCTTCATAAAGGCAG